GGAAAAAAAAAAACAAAACACATACGTGTCCAAGATATATATTTGTTTCTAACTTTTCCAAAGTTAATTGTCATACTTTTGCTTATCCTTTTGGGGACTGAGGGTTCAATTGATAGATGGCCTTTTAAAGAGCCATTCAGCCTACGATATAAAACAAGTGATATAATGTGAAAAGGAAGTTAAAGCATAAGGAAACCCAAAAACAAAAATGTATTTTATTGTAGCTTACCAATCATTGGATGTGATGGCCTTTGTTTTCTTCTTCTTCTTTTATTTTTAGCTGGTGATCAGCCAGTAATTCACCTCCTGTTTTAGGGTGGCTACATTCACTGTATCTATGGAGGAGCAACCTATTGCCTGCAGCCCAGAGATGGGCTTTAAATCAGAAATAGCCAGGTAACTCCCATGATCGAGTCACTGTAGGACTGGTTCATACTGCTGTGATTTCAAATGCGACTTCAGTCACACAGTATAAGGGCTCATGTACAGGGGGCGTTTGGAAAACTCTTCTGAACGATGGAAACTGACTGCTGGAAAACGTAGGTAAAAAAACATCAGTTTAGCAGCGTTTGCATACCGCGTTTATGCGTGTTTGTGTTTAGAAGCATTTTTAAAAGATAACCTCAGGAGACCTTCCCAAATACCCAGAATGCACTGAAAACAGTAAATAATTAACTATTTCAGACATTTTGAAAGGAATAGAGAGAGCAGAAGCAGAGAGAGCAGTAGGTGTTGAGATGACCTGTCTTTTCTGGTTGTATTCACTATGGATCCCATCATGAGCATAATGCGGCACGTTCTAACATTTTCTCCTTCACGCGAAACTTGGAACTGACTGCGCTGGTGTACCGGGTCCATTTGAATACATGGAAAATGCTTTGCATGCATTTCTGATGATGACAAAAGGCTCTGGACAGCATCTGGATATGGAACAGTTAAAAAATGCTTTTAAACGCAAACGCTTCTAAACACAGTTAGCCCCGTTTACAAGTGTTTGAAACGCTGGTGAAATCTACTCCTGAACGCAAGTTTGGTGCATTCAAAAAAACGACAGTAAACTCAACTACCTGTAAACAACATAGTGTACATGGACACATAGGAAACCATTAGGGAGAGTTCAGGGGCTGCTGAAAAAAAAACGCTGAACAGCTCCTGAACGTCAGTTTATCAGCTGCAGTGTACATGAACCCTAAATACATCAGTGGTTCATATAGTGAACTCGGTGTAGAGCTATTCACCCTGAGGTCATCACAGAGGATAAGGGGGCACTCTTTACATCTGGAGGAAAAGAGATTTAATTTCCAAACACGGAAAGGTTTCTTCGCAGTGAGAGCTGTGAAAATGTGGAATAGACTCCCTCAAGAGTTGGTTCTGGCCAGCTCAGTGGATTGCTTTAAAAAAGGCCTGGATTCTTTCTTAGATACTCATAATAAGAGAACTCACAGTATTTTTAATAGCGCCCGTTCACATCATTGCGACTCTGATCACAGTGTGATGTTGGAAAAGGTCCCTGTGCTACTTGGTGCAATTTACAGCGCAATATGTCCACATAGAAAACCACATACAAAATTGCAACCGAAGTCGCACCACACTGTAATTCAAAATTAAAAAAGAATCAAAATTGCATTTCAGTAGTGTGAACGGAGCCGTAAAGTGGAACTTCACTCTCTCAATCAACAAGAACTATTCCTAAACCTTATACTGTTAGCATTAGTACATAGTAGAAAGTATATTATATTTACTTGTTTTAACCATTTTTTTTTTGCATTCCTTCATTTAATACCAGGTTTCAATGCCTAGGCAAATGATGTCATACATCTCAGGAGTCTTCAGGAGGGGAGAGTTCTCAGCTCAGCCAATTCCTGAGCTAAAGACAGATGGAAGTAATTCCAGGAAGTAACTGCTACATCTGCCCTTAATCAAGATGGCCACTGCCAGAAATGCCAGGAGGTGGTTTTTCAAAATGATTTCTCTGCAAAATAAATCATTGGAGACATGGATGGATGGAGAAGTTTGTTTTGAATATTAAAAATATTTTATATAGCATGTCTGGTTTGTGGAGCTCAGATGCAGTGCAGTTTCATTTTAAAGTAGTTGTAAACCTCAGACATGAAATATGAACAAAGCATATCCCTTTATAGTGTGTTCTTGTCTCAATTAAGTGTCATTTCTCTCTGTTGTCCCCTTCCTTTGCAATCTGCATGAGTCACTTTTGACAAATTTTCCTAACATCAAGAGAAAAAAGGTGACAGAGGAGGGACCTCCTACACACATTAACAACTTCAGATCTGTTCCTATGTGCTGTGTTAAGGGGGGGGTTCCTTCCCTCCAATCAGCTCTCAGCGCTCTTCTCACTGAGCTCTGTAGACTAACTTCAGTTTCCTTCCCCCTGTTTTCTGACAACCCAAACAAGCTTTATAAAGTCTGCACTTTTATCAGCTGTAGAGAAGAGAACTGCAGATAAACAGATACTACTTATGCTATGGGCAGCACAGTGGCTAAATGGTTAGCACTTCTGCCTGGCAGCACTAGGGTTGTTGGTTTTATTCTGAACCACCTGCCTAGAGTTTGCATGTACCGCTTGTGTGGGTTTCCTCCTGGTGCTCCGGTTTCCTCTGACACTCCAAAGACATGCTGGTAGGTTAATTGGCTCCTGTCTAAATTGTCCCTAGTATGTGTATGTATGAATGTGAGTTAGGGACCTTAGATTGTACGCCCCTGAGGGTTAGGGCCTGATGTGAATGTACAATATATACAGTTGTGTTCAAAATAATAGCAGTCAGACATCACTAACCTGATCAATCACTGTTTTTGGTAGAAATGATATTTCTACATAGCAAATAATTTACTAGCAGGTGTAGTAGAGTAATAGAAGAAATCCAACAGACCCAACAGTCATGACATGCATGCTGCTGATTCTGTGTAATTGAATCACTAATTGAAAGGGGCATGTTCAAAATAATAGCAGTGTGGAGTTCTATTAGTGAGGTCATTCATTCTTTGAAAAACAGGTGGCAATTATTGCCCTTATTTAAGGAAGGAAGGCAGCAAATGTTGTACATGCTGGTTACAGTGCATTTCTCTCTGAAATTCTGAGGAAAATGGTCGTTCCAGACATTTTCAGAAGAACAGCGTACATTGATTAAAAAGTTGATTGGAGAGGAGAAAACATATAAAGAAGTGCCGAAAATGATAGGCTGCTCAGCTAAAATGATCGCAAATGCTTTAAAATGCCAACCAAAACCTGAAAGACGTGGAAAAAAAGCGAAAAACTACCATTTGAATGGATGGAAGAATAGCCAAAATGACAAGGACTGTCACAATTAGAAGATGCCTATGTGAAGCCAAGCTATCTGCAAGAAGCCCCCGCAAAGTCCCACTGTTGAAAAAAAGACATGTGCTGAAGAGGTTACAATTTGCCAAAGAGCACATTGACTGGCCTAAAGAGAAATGGCGCAACATTTTGTGGACTGATGAAAATAAGATTGTTCTTTTTGGGTCTAGTGGCCGGAGACAGTTTGTCAGACGACCCCCAAACACTGAATTCAAGCCACAGTACACTGTGAAGACAGTGAAGCATGGTGGTGCAAGCATCATGATATGGGGATGTTTCTCATACTACGGTGTTGGGCCTATTTATCGCATACCAGGGATCATGGATCAGTTTGAATACATCAGAATACTTGAAGAGGTCATGCTGCCTTATGCTGAAGAGGAAATGCCCTTGAAATGGGTGTTCCAACAAGACAACGACCCCAAACACACCAGTAAACGTGCAACATCTTGGTTCCAGACCAACAAGATTGACGTTATGGAGTGGCCAGCCCAATCCCCGGATCTTAATCCAATAGAAAACTTGTGGGGTGACATCAAAAATGCAGTTTCTAAGGCAAAACCAAGAAATAGAGAAGAACTGTGGAATGTAGTCCAATCATCCTGGGCTGGAATACCTGATCACAGGGGCCAGAAGTTGGTTGACTCCATGCAACACAGATGTACAGCAGTTCTCAGAAACAGTGCTTATACAACCAAATATTCATTAAGTGATTCAAAGGAAAGCAAAATCTTCAAACATTTTTCAGTTTATATAGTGAATGTTTGGGTTTGTAAAGAATACAAACACTGCTATTTTTTGAACAGTCTAATATTCACTTTTCTTCAATTTTTTTAGAGGAACAACACAAATTTGATATATTTTTCTTCATGTATTGATTTGGAATAGAATGTGTAGTGTTCCCAATGCATTTGTGTGTATGGAAATAAAAGCTATTAGAAGGATTTTGAGCTTTATTCACTTTTTTCAACACACTGCTATTATTTTGAACACAACTGTATGTGTGAAGCACTGCATAATTAATGGCGCTATATAAGTACCTGCAATAAATAAATAAATGTAGGAGGATTTGTTTCATCTCTGTGTATCACCTGAGGCCAGTCACTTCACTGGGTGTATGAAAGGGTTTACAACCACTTTAACCTCGGTCTGATTATTTCAGATTTTTGGTGCTGAAAGCGGTACCATTATTTTGCATGGAAATTTGGCGTTTTATATTGTAGGCCTGTAATTTTTAGGAATAACTCACTGAAATCTGTCCGAACAAGAGTCTGTTAAACATTCCGGGTATGATAAAACTTGAAACACAAAGTCATAAATTATAATTTAATAAATAATCATAAAAAATAATAATATAATAATAATACATTTAATTAAATAATATAATCAAACCAAAAACACTGAAATTTGAAATATAGCGCCAAGTTCGCACATCACTGAGCAAAATCGCAAAATCGTTTTCAGTGTCTGATGACGAATTTCCCCACAAATCATTATCACTCAATTCTGCAAGTGGTTCTAATTTACTATCGCTGTTCTCTAGCCGGTCTAAAACCGCTTTTGAACTGAAGGGACACTTTTTGGACGCCATGGACGTTTCTCAGTTTCCAGGCAGAAAGAACAGTAAAAATGCAGGCAGGGCGCAGGACAAAGCACTCGGGACAAAATGTATGTGAAATGGTTTGATACAGTAATGTTATACTATGATTTTAGTGATTTTAGTAAATGTCACTTTTTGTCATTTTCGAATTTCCCGCCGTTCCGTCCCCGTACGTCCCGACGCTCGCAGGGGACGGAACCCAGATGACAGATGGCAGCATGCGCCGGATTACATTGCCGGGGACACTGCAGGATGGATATCGCGGGGAGTGCAGGACAAGGTAAGTGATGGAGGGATTGCAGAGCAACGCCGCAGGGTATTCCCGAGTGTAGATTGGGGTTACCACTTGTGGTACTGAAACTTTATCCCGAGCTACACTCGGGAATACCGCCAGGGAGGTTAAGTCCCTGGTCACACTGGGTGCGAATTGGCATGTGATTTGCATGCCATACGACTTGCAAATTGCATGGCAAGTCGCACCCTATTGTCCACAATTACAGCAGTCATATTGGAGGGGTTACGACTTGGTCGGAGCCGCATCGATTTCTAAAGTAGTACATGCACTACTTTTGGTGCGATTTGCATAGACATCTGTGTCAGATATCTCACAAATTGCACCTCAAATAGGCATGTCATCTGACTTTGAAATCGTGCGACGTACAATCGGGATTGGTGTGACCGAGGTGTAAGTCACTGGTCACACCGCTTTTAAAATCACACAATTTCTGAAGACTTTATTGCAACTTGTGATGATTTTCAATGATTTCTTGCAATTGGCATTGTAAATTCCATTATATTCTAAGAATGTGAAATCGCAATAAACTGCAGAAAAAGTCATGCAAGAACTACTTTAGAAATCGCGCTGCAGCAAATCACGTATGTTAAGACACTGACATTCACATTCATTAGATGCAATTTCAGGTGTGATTTTTAATTTGCAAATCGCACCGGTATGACTGGCACTAAAAGGGTTCCTATGAGTATTGTTTTTCTTGTATTTTCCATCTTCATGGGTAGTAGTGTTGCTGTGGATTAGAGATGGCAGGGGGCCCTGGCGTTGACTACACCGTTCTATCTACAAGGGCTTCTGCAAATGGTGGTCACCGGCATTCCACTGCAGCCCTGAATAAGCTGTCAATCTGGGAAACTCCAAGTTATTTTAACCACTTCCCCTCCAGAGGATTTACCCCCCTTCCTGACCAGGACATTGTTTGCGATACAGCGATGCGTTACTTTAACTGACAATTGTGCGGTCATGCAACGCTGCACCCAAATGAAATTTACATCCTTTTTCCCATGAATAGAGCTTTCTTTTGGTGGTATTTGATCGCCTGTCTTGTTTTTTTTCCGCTATAAAAAAAATAAATAAGATCGACAATTTTGAGAAAAAAAACTATATTTTTTACTTTTTGCTATTAAATATGTCCAGTAAAAAAAAAATGTAAAAATCTAATTTCGTCATAAATTTACACCAAAATGTATTCTGCGACATGTCTTTGCTAAAGAAAATCTCAATATGTGTAAATTAATTGGTTAACGTGAAAGTTATAGCGTCTACAAATGGCAGTATATATACTGGAATTTTTTTTTTATGCTAGTAATGGCGTGGATCAGCGACTTATAGTGGGACTGCAGAGGGCATTCTGACACTGGTGGGAACTGACTAACTGCCACTGACATCCCCAGTGACACCAATACAGTGATCAGTGCTAATAAAAAGCACTGACACTGTACTAATGACACTGGACAGGAAGGGGTTAACATCTAGGGCAATCAAACAGTCAACTGTGCGCTGTGTGTGTTTTATATTACGTGCTGTGTTTTTTTACTACGAAGACATGCTGCTTTGTATTTCTCTGCTGTGCAGAGATTGTTCTGTCCCCACATGAAGGCGAATGAAGGTATATCTGATAATGGCTGTGTAACTTCCTACCTTCGTATCCAAGCAGTGGAGCAGACCGGACCGGCAGATGCTCAGGTTAGACGGATCCAAACGTATACACGGGAATGAAATCAGCGTGTGTTTATTTGGTCCAAAATACAGCGACAAACAGTGATACAATACTGTAATGTAGTAGAGGTATTGATGCTGTCCTGTGATATCTTTCCTGAGGCTAACTGCTGGTCAAAAACTGATGCCTTCACAAGCCCAGGGTGTATAGAATGTCCTGTCACACAGCTATATAGCAGATAAAATGGCTGCAGGAAGTGACCAGAACCAAGGCTTGCCTAAAACCACGCCCAGCAGAGAAAACACTTACTAGCTATAACAGAGGCATGCAGCATGCAAATTCTGGCCAGCAGATGGCAGCAACAGATCAAGACATAGAAACAAACATGGTGAAATAAGAATTGGTGATACAATGCACAGTTAAATAACAAATATGAGGGGAACAGCACACTCCCCGTCTGAAATTCCATAAGGGATTTCACTATGACGAATGTCCATAAAATATAAAACAACCTGTAACAAAGAACATGTTAGAATGCAATAAACATAACAATATAGTAGATTCCGAGTTGGAATAGAGAAGATCCACAAAGTTCAAGTTCAGGAGAGTTCACCCAGCAGGAATGTTCCCGATGGGTAGTATCAAAATGAGTTCGTTAATTGGCCTTGCGAACATTTTAAGCTCACCTTTCTGAAGATCTTCAACTCCACTTTACGGACCTTGCCATCCTTGCTAGGAAGAACCTTTGTAATTAGTCCCATAGGCCAGTCAATCCGCACGGTATGTTGCTCCTTCATTAACACGAGGTCACCTTCTTTTAGGTTGGGTTTGTGGTGTTGCCACTTTCTTCTTCCTTGAAGAATATTGAGATACTCCTTTCGCCACCTGTTCCAGAAGTAATCAGCTAGGTATTGTACACGTTTCCAGTGTTTTTGGTAGATATTCGCATGAGTAAATTCTCTACTAGGCATTAGTGTAATCTCAGTTTTTGGGTAAGTAGAATAGCTGGAGTCAGTACGGCTGGTGTTTCAGGATCCATAGATACTGGCACGAGGGGTCTAGAATTGATGATGGCTGAAACTTCAGCAAGAAGGGTGACTAGAGTCTCATGTGTGAGTCTTGAAGAGTTTACATCCATCAACATAGAATTCAAGATGTTGCGTGAGATCCCGATCATTCTCTCCCAGGAGCCCCCATGTGGGAACTATGAGGAGGATTGAAAATCCAGGTGCAACCCTTTTCTGCCAAGTGATCTTGAATGGATTTGGTGTCTATGTTCAGTTCTCTACAGGCTCCAATGAAGTTGCTTCCACGGTCAGACCTCAACTGTTTCACTGGTCCTCTGATTGCGAAGAACCGTCTTAAGGCATTAATAAGGCTGGATGTGTCCATGGATTCTATGACCTCTAAGTGAACGGCTCGCACACTCATGCAAGTAAATAATACAGCCCAACGCTTACTGTTTGCGTGACCGCCACGGGTCCTGCGTGCGGACACCATCCATGGCCCGAAGACATCTAGGCCAACATAGGTGAAAGGTGGCTCTGTACATAGTCTGTCCGCAGGCAAATAAGCCATTTGTTGGTGTAGTTGTTTTCCTCTAGCTTTGCGACAGTGAACACAGTCATGCAATACTTGGGCCACACGTCTTTTTCATACCTATAATCCAAAGGCCAGCAGACCGTAACTTGCCCTCAGTGATTTGCCTGCCCTGGTGTTCAGTCTTTTTGTGGTAGTGTCGGATCAGCAATATGGTGATATGGTGTTTGCTAGGAATGATGAGAGGATTTTGTTCTACAACTCTTAGGTGGGCTTGATTCAAACGACCACCAACTCTGAGCAAGCCAAAACTGTCAATAACTGGATTTAAGTTGGCAAGAGGGCTTTTTATTGGAATCTGCTGTTTGTTGTACAAGCACTTCCATTCTACATTGAATTCCCCTTGTTGGACGTGACGTATTATGAGGTACTCACTATGAGAGATGTTCTCCACAGAGAAGGGTTTATGGCAGATGTGCCAACCATGACAATCCTTATCTTCGTGAGTATTGTGATAACATTTCGCAATGTGCACCAACCTTGCGATAGTCCTGACGAGTCTCATCCAACTGGAGAAACGTTCAAAGCGCTGGCTACCGAGGCTGGAGTTTTGCTTTGTTCCAGTGACCAATACACTGATTTCAGCGCGGATTTCTGGATCATTATCCGGATCCTGGATGCTGAAAACTTCCTGTACACATTCGTCCGCCTGTCTTAGCAGAAACTCCGGACCTGTAAGCCAAGTAGAGTTAGTAAAGGAACCTACAGACATAGGTCTAGTGGCATGATATACTCCGAATGAAGGCAAGTAGCAGCACTTGTCGTTCTTCCTTAAGGATGGAGCTGGTTCTGCATGGTTGTTACGGAATATTTTATCCATAAAGGCAACGATGTGTTCTCTCATTTCAGGCTTGCTGTTCATGGTACGCTGAAGAGAGAGTTAAATCTAGACAGAGCTTGTTCCCGGTTGTTCGGGAGTCTTACCCTGTTAGCTTGGAAGGGTAATGGAGAAACCCAGTGATTGGTTCGTCTTTAAAGAACTCACTGTCCATTATCTCGACAAATTCTCTGTCCTCTACTGACAAGGCTACTTTATCGTCGTCCTTGGTTGTATGAAAGACTGATCTCCCCAAGTTGTCGGCAAAGAGGGGAGTAATGACGTCAGGTAGTTGTACGAGGCCTGGAGACTTCTCTCTCACCTCATAGTGATGAGGACACGGCTTAATGCAAGTTGTGCGTCCATCTGCACGCACGTACGTTTTGAAGGAGTCGATTTTTGGTTGATTTAAGCATACATTTCCTATGATTACCCATCCCAAGTCCAGTCTCTGGGCATATGGCGCATAGTCAGGACCATTACACTGTTGACGCACCTTGTGTACCCTTAGATTGTCTCTGCCGAGCAGGAGTAGAATCTCGGCGTTGATGTCCATAGGTGGGATAACGTTGGCTAGGTGCCTTAGGTGAGGTTGGCGAAATGCAGCTTCTGGGGTAGGAATCTCATCCCTATGGTTGGGTATTTGATCGCATTCGATCAGCGTCGGTAAGGGTATTTCCGTATCCCCACTGACAGAAGCGATGAATCCTTGTGCCCTTCTGCCGCTAGTCTCTATGCGACCCGAGCAGGTGTTTAATGTATAGGATTCGGATGGTCCCTTTATTCCAAAGGCTTCAAAGAATTTAGGACCTGCTAGGGACCGGTTGCTTTGGTCGTCGATGATGGCATACATTTTTAATGCCTTTTCTGGTAGTCCCTCTGGGTAGACCTTGATTAAGCATATTCGGGCACAACATTTCTCGCACTGGCCCTCCCCACATACATCCAAGCATGAGCAGGAAACAGCAGTCGCTGCATTAGCGTAATTTTGGGGCTCCCCGCCCATGACTTGGAGCAGGACTGGTGGTGATGGCAG